GGGAAAGAGAGAGAAGACTTTTGCTGGTTCAGTAGTTCCCCTTCCAGCAGCTCCCATTGGTCGATCTGAGAAGGCGGGAATGAGGGTGAGAGACTGGAATAGAAAGGGAGCGAGAGAAAAACAGAGAGGGAATTCCTGTGGCTTGGCACGCTGCACCGAGAGAGGCGTGGACTGTCAGGACTCTTCTACACCGTCACAGCACAGGATCACAGCACAGGATCACAGTCGGATCACAGTCGGATCACAGTCGGATCACAGTCGGATCACAGTCGGATCACAGCCTGATCACAGTCGGATCACAACACAGGATCACAGCACAGGATCACAGCCGGATCACAGTCGGATCACAGCACAGGATCACAGTCGGATCACAGTCGGATCACAGCACAGGATCACAGCACAGGATCACAGCACAGGATCACAGCACAGGATCACAGCCGGATCACAGTCGGATCACAGTCGGATCACAGCACAGGCTCACAGTCGGATCACAGCCGGATCACAGCCTGATCACAGCCGGATCACAGTCGGATCACAGCACAGGCTCACAGTCGGATCACAGCCGGATCACAGTCGGATCACAGCCTGATCACAGTCGGATCACAGCACAGGCTCACAGTCGGATCACAGCCGGATCACAGTCGGATCACAGTCGGATCACAGCACAGGCTCACAGTCGGATCACAGCCGGATCACAGCCTGATCACAGTCGGATCACAGTCGGATCACAGCCTGATCACAGCCCCCCCCACCCCCCCTCTCTGAGGGGAACAGTGTTGTAGGTGGTTGGAGGAGTGGGTGTGTGTGTGTGTGTGTGTGTGTGTGTACCTTGTTGGTCACAGTGTTGATGGCCAGTGTTGGAGAGGCACTTCCAGAGATCATACACTCCATCCCCAAAGAGTCTGACTCCAGGCTGTACGGTGTGGACGCCTGTGGACAGACGGACAAACACACACACATGAAACTAAACCGTTAACACCAGTCACATGTCGTCACACACACACACACACACAGGCTGGTACTGCAGTATTTTATAACAAAGTAAAGCTCAGACGTCACAGTTGAAGACAGACCCCCCCCCCCCCCCTACAGACCAACTCCAGTAATGACAGTATGACCTGCATCAGCTGGTGACGTGGGTGGACGTAGAAGAACAGAGGACAGACTTACTCTCTCTCCAGAACGAGGCCTCTTCTTTGGCCGCGTGGGCAAGGCATCCTCTTTTGGGTTGGTGTCGATGGCCCAGTAAGAGCCCTGTGGGAGGGGGGGGGGAGAGAGAGAGAGAGAGAGACCTGTGAGCTGGTACAATG